TTTTTTTTTTTTTTTTTTTTTTTTTTTTTTTTTTTTTTTTTTTTTTTTGGGAGTAAAGAAGTAGCTGAAGTAAAGGGAGGGGAGTTGATCGCCGGTGCAGAAGATCAGTTGTGCAAAATTGAGAGGAGATGGAGATTGAGAGCAGGGAAGATTTGACGTCCATATTGCCGTTTCTGCCGCTGGCGCTGAGGTCGTCGGCTTTATGCTGGCCCCCCCAAGTAGTGGAAACTCTCAAGTCTGTGGCGGCAGGACCTGATCAGAGCGGTATAAATTCTGGTGAAGCCCTCTTCCATTCTATCTCTAACATCAGACGCACACTCTCTATCTCCGATCAACGCCTCGCTTCTTCTGCCCATCATGGCTACGTCCTTTTCTTCGACAAGGTACTTCGCTTTTTCCTGCTTCTCACAGCTCCATTGAAAATGCCTCATACCATGATATTCCTCTTAATTAGGTGAGAATTAGGTGAGAATATTCCTCTCAATGATCCTCAATAATCCTCCCTCGAACAAAGTACACCATAAGCCTTCCACGAGGCCTCCTTCTCTAAAGCTCTCGAACAGCCTTTCCTTGATTCGATCGAGGCTTCACTACTTCTTTGGAGCCCTAGAACAAAGTACGCCTTTGTTCGACACTCTCGAGTCACTTTTGACTACACCTTTGAAGCTCACAACTTCTTTGTTCGACAGTTGAAGATTCGTTTGCATAACTAAGTTAATGACATGACTCTGATGCCGTGTTAGGAATCACGAACCTCCACAATGATATAATATTGTCAATTTTGAGTATAAGCTCTCGTGACTTTGTTTTTGGTTTCCTCAAAAGGCCTCATCCGAATGGAGATAGTGTTGATGCCGTGTTAGGAATCACGAACCTCCACAATGATATAATATTGTCAATTTTGAGTATAAGCTCTCGTGACTTTGTTTTTGGTTTCCTCAAAAGGCCTCATCCGAATGGAGATAGTGTTCCTTACTTATGAACCCATGATCTTTCTCTTAATTAGCCAATAATCCTCAACAGAGGGGCGCCTTTGCTCTCAATTCCTTCCCTAAAATGTCTCTCATAAGCTTTTTTAAATCCTTGCAAACAGAACAAGGAGAAAAAATGTATCAGGATTGTATTTATTTCTAAGTTCTTGATTTTGTATTTTTTCTTTTATTCTCACTTTCTTTGGGAGTTCGTAACCTTTGAACATTTATTCCTTTTATTATATCAATGAGAAGTTGTTTTATCTTAAAAATAAGAAAATAGAATGTCAGTGTAAGAAACTGGGCTACATTTAACAGTGAGCAAGACCTTTATCTTAAATTAATCAGTCTTCTTTACCTTCAACATGATGATTGTTACCTTCAAAATGTGGATATATTTTCAATCCTGCTTGAATGCAAGGTGCAGTACTGACAACATAAATATGACATTGTAATATGAACTTCTAGACTAAATCAAGTTGCTATGAACAGCTTATGTCCGAAACAGAATCCATGCAGTGGTTTGGTGAGGTTATTCCGGCATTGGGAGATATGCTTCTTAAGTTACCATCTTTGCTGGAAGCACATTATCAAAATGCCGACCAGCTTACTGGTAAAGGAAGTGGCAAATCCAAAACTGGTCTTCGTTTGTTAGCTTCTCAAGTTGCAGGCACTGTGTATCTTAGCCAGGTGTGCCAATTTGTTTGCTATTTTATATAAAATTTGGCCACTCTTCACAGAAATTTAATTTTGTCAGTTGTTTTCGTGATCGTTGGTGGCAATGTTAGCAGAGTCCTATAATTAATTATGTGGAATCTAAACATGAATTTCTATATTCAAAAGTTCTTTAATCACCATGGGTTCACTTATTGGTTAATAAAGGCCAATGTAACTAGTACAGGACTAGAGTGATTGAGTTAAGTAATGGTGTGACAACCAAATTTAGTAGGGTCAGGTGGTTGTCCAAGTGAATATTGAGGTGCTGCCAAGCCCATACCGTCACAGATATAAAAAAAAAAAAAAAGATCAATAATTCTTTACTTTTGTTGCAAAAAAATGTGTTGGGGTTGAGAGGTGAAGTTTTATGACTTAATGGTTTGGGCAGCTTTCTGGTGCTAAGTTACTATTTGATTCGTGGCCATCATTATCTATCAATGATTTTATTGACGTTGTTAAGAGAAAATAATGGCGCATGTTTTTTGACTAGTTGGACAAAGATCATTTTGCTTCATGTTTTGCATTCTTGTTTCTGGAAATAATTGTGTCCCTGAATCACGATAGGACTCCTTGTATTTTTTTTTTCTGATTATTTCGTTTCTCCTCGAGTCAACTTCTGCTACCACTTTCTGTCTTTCCGTCTTACTCAGATTATTGAATAGAAATGGATGGATTGTATGCTTGGCTTGTTTGAGCCACTCTATGTCCTCTCTTGCATGTTCTTTGTACTGTCAACAAATGCTTCCTTGCTAATCTTCTTCTGCTCAGTTTTATTAATGCCTGTTAATCGGTTTCCATTTTGATTTTCAGGAGCTGATTAGTGCGCTTCTTGCTTGTGCTTTCTTCAGTTTGTTTCCAGTCATCGATAGACACGTCCAAAATCTTCCAACAATTAACTTCGACTATTTATTTGCGTATGTGAACTTTAGCTCTTTATTTCAGTTGCTGACATCATGAAAGATAAGTTATCCATAAAATGACAAATGACATACTTGATGTTTATATATATTTTCTGTAACTACATGATAAATTTTTGTTTTAATTTTAGAAAATTTCAGAAACGTTTGTTTAATCATCGTCATTCAAGTTTATATTGTGATTCAATAGGTGTGTATTACTGCCTAGCTACTGTATGTCAGTGTCAGCTTTAGTCAATGGTTAATTTGTTATTTGGCTGACGGCCTTATATAAAAGCCTCTGTGTCCTTGTATGTACTCAATTATAATTTCTCTACTCTGAACTCTCAGCACTTTATTTTGTGTTTATCTTAGCTTCCTTATATCTCTGATCAAGTTTCTTTTTACTTTTATATTTTTCTCCTTAGTTACAAGATTTTTTGCCATCTTATTATGTAATCATATCTTTTTTAATAATAAATATGTATTCCTGATTTCTATGAAGAAGATTGTAAAAATATTTCAAAGCAACAATGTAGGTATTAAATAGTTCTTGTTGTGCCATTTTTCTTTCGATTACAAGAAGCTTGAAGAATCGTTGAAGTTTTTGTTCTTGTAGGATTCTCTATGATGGACGTAGTAAGATGCAGGAGAATAAGATACGATGTATTATACATTATTTCAGAAGGGTATGTTCCAATGTTCCGATGGGCTTTGTCTCTTTTGAAAGGAAAGTGCTTCCTTTGAACAATTGTGCGGAATATTTTTGTTGTCCAAAGGCCAATTTTTGGATCAACTCCACCATTCCTCTGTGTCCATTCAAGGTTATAATGGACTTTGATTTATATGATAGTTTAATTATTGTGTGGCACCATAATTGAATGCTTTAATCTTTGGTGGATGATCGAGTTGGTTCTTTTTTCCCATATAGGTTAAAGATTCTGGCCTAATAGAAGATCAAACATTTGGAGCTCTTGAAGTCGATTTTGCTAATGAGTATCTTGGTGGTGGTGCTCTTCGTTCTGGCTGCGTGCAGGTCTAATTTATAAGCTTATGCCTATTTCATTGAAGTAAGTGGAATATACAAAAGGGTTAGCTAAGAGGGTTACATTAAGGATCTCCATGTGGTTTGTTTGGAGGTAATACAATAATTCGGTCCCTTTGGGGACATCCAATAAAATTGGTACGATACATACGCCACCAAATGATTTTTGGAAGAAGACAACTGGAACACAGAGAAAAGGGCCTGGTCCTTCCATATTTTCCTAAAAACAAAATTTTTTCCCATTACCATTGCGTTAAGGAACATCCAACAGCTATCACATGTGTTTTTAATGATAGAAGGTTATCATGGCTATCTTTTGAGCTTAAAAACTGTAGTGTTGAGGGTTCATAGACCAAGTAAGGGCGTCAAATAACTTGTTATTACAAGCTATCAATTTTTAGTGTGGCCAGTCAAATTCTGAACAAACCTTGAATGAGCATATGGAGGCTGTATAGAATATTGAGATATCTCAAGGACGACCCAGGAAAGGGCTTCATGCTCAGAGTGACTATGAATCGATTCTTGGAAGTCTCACCAATGCAGATTGGACGGACTCTCCCATTGACCGTAAGTCAACTTTAGGGTATTGTTCCTATGTGTGGAGAAACTTTGATGTGGCACAACAAGAAGCAATTTTTCGCTAAAAGGCAGTGGTAAGACTGAGTTTAGTTCATTAGCTGAAGGGACTTGAGAATGAATATTGTTAAAACGCCTCCTCACCGAGTTCAAAGGTAGGATTAAAGGTGGTATAGAGTTGATGTGTGATAACCATTCTGCCATAGCTATTGCAAAAATCCAATGTATCATGAATGATCGAATGGAGCACATTGATATATAGACTACCACTTCATTACTGAGAAGATTGAGAACAACACAATCAATCTAAGATATGTGCCTTCTCAACTGCGAGTTGCAGATATATTTTACCAAGACATTGCATTGAACCAGCGTTGCTAGTTTGATTTATATGCTAGGAATGACTAGTATATACCATCCAACTTGTCTAGACCCCCTATTGTGAAAGTGTATAGATGTAAGTGAAAGAAGAGAGGGACTGTGTAAGTCGTGTTGCAAATAATTGTATGTGGTCCTAGGGTGTTTTGGTTGGTTATGTGGGTGTGAGGCCTCTGGCATCTGCTTGTCAGTACTTATAGGAAAAGTAAACAAGGGACTACATCTTGACAGTTAATAGGACAGGTGCACTTGAATTGGCTGGGAGGTTCTTGCATGGTGTTTGGCTCTTGTTGTTTGATATATCGAAAATATCGTGAGGGCTCGTACAAGGAATTTTTATTCATGGACTTGAATATCTAAGCTGTTTACAACACTATAAGCTAATATACATGTTATATCATTTAAGATTGTACATCTTACATGATTTGCAATATATTTATGTTATTTTGACAATCCATTGTAGGAAGAGATCCGTTTCATGATCAACCCTGAATTAATTATTGGCATGCTTTTCTTGCCAGCCATGGCAGATAATGAGGCGATAGAAATTGTTGGGGCAGAGAGGTTCTCAAATTATACGGGGTGAGTTATAATCATTTCATCATTAATTTTAATCTTCTTCGATTGGGCATCGAATTAGAATGTCCTTAGTTCAACCCCTACAATGTCAGTTTATTGCTATTTAATATTAAGAATATGTTAAAAATATTAAATATTCCATAATCTATCAATTTAATATTGGTGATTTGCTGATATTTTGCAGAACTCTTAGGGTAATTCACCATTGACTTTAAAATTTTAAGTCTGATAATTATAATTTATCAACTTAAGTAGGGTTGACTAGTAATTTAACCTAGTATTAATACTATATTAAGTTGATACTCAGGCTTAAAGCTTAAGCTTAAGCTTAGGTTGGAGTAAATTAAATCTTTTCAATATATATATATATATAGATTGCTTTGGCCTCTGCGATATCTTTTCATTTTATGAAACCAGCTCTACGTCAAATTCCTGATTATGAAATCATCTGCAAGAGATGTAGGTATGCTTTCAACTTCCGTTTTGCTGGAAATCATGAGGACAAACAGGAAATAGATTCACTTGGAAGGCGTAAGACCTTCATCACAGCTATAGATGCATTGTGCAGTCCAGGGATGAGACAATACAGATTAGAGTTCCTTCTTCGGTAAGCTAGCCTGTCTGGAATAGCATTCATGCAGAATCCTTTATTGGTTTGAATACTAATTTGCATCTTTTAGTCTGTTAACAATGTCTGAGATAGCTGAAACTATCCTTCGTCTCTCGCAAAGCACCTCCTCTTTATGCAGTGACGGACGTCCCCTTAGTGGACTGCTGGAGATTGCAGCTAATAGAGGCTCACGAGATTTTAGAATGGGAGTGGGAAGTAATGGTATACCCATTTTTATTTAGGAAACTTCTAAATTTCTGTATGTTATTAAGATACCCTACTAGATGCTATGAGTTAGGTAGATAAGATACCCTACTAGATGCTGGTATCTCCCCCAATCCACGGAGTACTCACATTGTTGAATCCAAAGTTCTTTTATGGGTCCACAGGAGAATCTGTTGTTTTGATGTTTGTTTTTTTACCTTTTGTTACATTTTTCGTTTAAAAGACTGACGAGGTTTTTGGTTCTGAATGGATTAGAAGAGTCAGGTAGAATTTGTGGTGAGTTAAGAAACCAAGACTAGTGTGCATGGTGTCTCACAACAAACCATTTATTTGTTACGATGGTGCTTAGAAGTTTGGACTCATCGTGGAAGTCTTATCGGTGAATGCTAGTGTATTCCGTTCGTCCTCATCTTTATAAGCTGATATTTTACTATGCTTGCTGAATTCAACAGGGAAGTCAACAAGGCATTCTGTGGTTTCTTTGATCAATCAAAACATAATCAGTACGAGAATCTTTTCTTAAAAAGTAAGGAGGATGTCACGGACCATAATGACACGTCAAGAAACAATCTCCTGGTAAAATTGCTTCTTTTTTTTTTTTTTTCCTGTTCTCTGCTTTTTGACATTATTCTCAAATGATAAGTTCAGAACCTTATAGAGAGGACAATTATCATAATTAGCAGTCGTAAATGATCCCATTCTATGTTCTTCTAGATTCTTTAGTTTCAAAATTTTCTTATTAGAATGATCTTTTGTTGCAATATTTTTTCTCCTGTTGCTAATTTGGTTGCATGGGTTTGTTTATGGTGCTATTATTTTAGGTGCATGAATCTAGCTCAGATACTAGAGAGAATTATTTTGGTACTTCTCTTACTCCAGAATGCTTGAATCACAAAGACGATATTGGGATTGCAACTGGCAATTGGGGCTGTGGTGCCTTTGGAGGAGATCCTCAAGTGAAGTCCATGATACAATGGCTTGCTGCTTCTCAGGTACCTTCCTAAGTGTTTGTATGAATCCAGCGTGTTGAGGATTGTTGGGAGGGAGTCCCACGTTGATTAATTTAGAGAATGATCATGAGTTTATAAGTAAGGAATACATCTCCATTGGTATGGTATGAGGCCTTTTGGGGAAGCCCAAAAACAAAGTCACGAGAGCTTATGTTTAAAGTAGACAATATCATACCATTCTGGAGAGTCATGGTTCCTTATGCTCAAAGTGGACAATATCATACCATTGTGGAGAGTCGTGGTTCCTAACACAGCTCGTTCCTAACACAGCTCGTATTGAGTCCTAAAATCATCCTCCAAAACTCTTTCCACTTTCTTGGTTCCAAGTGTTCTTAATAACCAAGTATATGTTTTTCAGGCATTAAGACCCTTCGTCGTGTATTACACGTTTGGCACTGAAGCACTGCAGAACCTAGAAAAGGTACGAAATCCCCCTCCATGAAGTATCAAAGGTTGTTTTTTTATATGCAAAGTTCATCCATAAATAGAAACCAATTGGTGTACGGTTTATGATTGGTTTATTGAATATTTTGGGACAGATGAGTGAATGGATCTTGGCACATAAATGGACAGTTGGTGATCTATGGAGTATGTTGGCGGAGTACTGTTCTCAAATATCAAAGGGACAAACTCACGTTGGTTTCTTTGATTGGCTCCTCCCACCCTCCTCCAAAACTAACTTATGTTGCTTCTCTTGATTTGGCAATCAGTTAGCTTATCAATTGTCTTTTATTGTTACATTATATAGAAAACTATACATAAAAATATAGAAAACCTAAATAAAATGTTTATTTTAGGTTTTTAGCTTTGAATTTGGTTCTATTTTGGTCCTCTAATTTTTATTTTAAAATGTTAGTTTGGAATAAGTATTTTAGTATGTTGATATAATCATGAGTTCATCTTAAATAAATTAAGAGATGAGCTCGAGCTAAAATAGATATCTATTTGAGGTAATAAGGGTTAAAATAATTTTTAAAAGGTGAGGTAATGTCGTTAAAATAAATTTTAATAGGTACAATGATAGATAGATCAATTTAAAATTTAGGAATTAAATAGAACAATATTATTGCCTTCCACATTTTATTAGATACAATAAATCTACACCCATATTCTTTTTAACATATTTTATATATTAAATATTGATTTGAAGAAGGAAAACTTGTGATTTACAAAATACATGAAGTCAAGTCACATAACATCTAGGCCTTTAGCCATGTCAATAAGATCCTCAAATGTCAACTATCGAAATCATGCCTCGATTAAAGGAGATTAAGGAGAGGTGTTGGATGATTTAAGGAATGATCAAAATCACTTTTAGAAGCGGGATCGATATGAACATTTTAATCACATTCCCATCAACAGACGTTTTATGTGTTAAAAAATGAATATATGTCGGAATTTTGGGGTTCTGGGTTCTGAGGGGTTTTACAGAGAAACTCGATACCCATCTCAGCTTCGTTTTCAGTTCTTATCCATCTCTCCTATGAACCAACGCTCTTCGCTTCTCCTTCCTTCTTTATACTTCTTCTCCTTCTGAAGTTCTAGGCTTACTTTGTAAGCTAACTAAGTTTGTTTGGCGAAGTTGAAGTTCCATTTAGCCAAAACCAACTGGAAATCCAGACTTTCATTTACAACTCTGGAATTTCTTTATTGTTGTATTCTGAACCCTATTCCCAAGCAATACTTGAGGTCGTAATCTTGTAGAAATGGCGCTGCAACATACACTACGTTTACCGTTTCTGGTTTTGCCTTCTTCTAATTGCCGATTCCAAGGGGGTGCTTTCGCCTTTGCGGCCACCAATTCGCAACCCAGCGATGCTTTCGCTTCATGGAGGTTGAAGTCTTCTTATCCTTCATCCATCGCTTCGGTGAAGTTGTCTTTCCTGGTAATCTCGTTCTCTAATCCATAGACTTATAGTGTGCTTGTTATATGATGTATCTTCGATTTAGATGGCTAAAAGTGTTTTGTAGTTGATTTGAAAACTTCTTTTATGAAACATCTGAAAGTTGATTCTCCAAAAAGTGATTTTAGAGTGATTTTCTGGGAATAGTTTTAAATTCAATACATGGTAATTTGATATTTGTAGGATTGTTTTTAGACATGGTGCAACTAAACAAACTTGTATTCAAGTCATTTTTAATAGAACGTAAGTAATCATCAAATGATTTTAGAAAAAGTAAAGTTTATGCCGAACTCACCCTTTGGTGCTTGTTTCTTGTTACTTGGGGAAATTTAATGTGAAATGCTTCATGTTTTGATCTGTAGGGTAGTTATTTTAGAAGCAGCCCTCGAAGGGCCTACAAAACTGCTGGATCCCTCTGGTCAGGTGATGGAAAGAAGAAAAAGGGACAAGCGGATACGGACTCCGATGAGGAAGATGATTCTTCTTCAGCAGAGCAGCAAGACCTTGAGCCTATGGATGTAGAAGAGAGACGGGAATGGAGGGAGAAGATTAGGGAAGTGATTGATATGAACCCCGATGTTGAGGAGGAGATGGACATCATGGAAAGGAGAAGGAAGATGCAAAAGCTTCTAGCTGACTATCCTCTTGTTGTGGAGGAGGAAGATCCTAATTGGCCTGAGGATGCTGACGGTTGGGGTTTCAACTTGGGTCAGTTTTTTGATAAGATCACCATCAAAAATAAGAAAAAGGATGATAAAGATGATGATGATAAAGATGACAATGATGATGAAGTAGTTTGGCAAGATGACAACTACATTCGTCCAATTAAGGACATAGCAACTGCTGAATGGGAGGAGGCTGTGTTTAAGGACATTAGTCCACTAATCATTCTTGTACATAATCGCTACAAAAGGTATGCTCTTTGAAGTCATCTAATTGCCTGCCGTAAGATTATTAACATTAGGATCTTGTGCGGGTTGTTTGTCTTTATGGGCATTGATCTCATTTATCTATATTTTTTCCCGTGGATTCCAAACCTACAATGCAATGCAAGGATATCTATTCGTAGAGGTTGAAATTATTTTATTCATATTTGCATTTTGTACACCCAAATGGTTGTCCGATGGTGAGAAGTTAGGAGGTCTGCAGATACTCTCTGGGTTCTAGCCTTGAGTTGAAAACTTAGTAACTTACAATAGATGGGATCTTTTGGGCGGGTAACATGAGCATAGTGCAAGGAATAGGCTCTTTGATATTTTTCGGTGTCTCTACCTATTGTGATTGTAATGTGGTAAGCTCCCCTATATTAACACTCTTGTGCCCCACTACCAGTACCCAACCAATGTGATTTTCTCTTCAATCACTTTTCGGGTGTTGTGGAGGTTGTGTTTGTTGATCTTAGAAAACTCTCCTTGAGACGTTTGGAAGGAAAAAAATAAGAGGGTCAATTGAAGAATATAATTAGAAGGAATTATATGCAGGACTTCGGACCATGACAAGTTAGTCTTTTTCCTTTTCTTTAAAAGAAGACGAGTGCCCTTTGCTAGAGGCCCTCACATTTCTTGGTTAGGAATGATGCGAGGGAAAATTGGGGGTCAGATACAAAATTTTGATATGTATTTTTTAACATTTTATTTTTACGTATGCTTAAACTGTTATTTGATGGCTGTAGTGGTTTAACAATAACATGGATCACAAGATGATCTGTATGTGGCAGAAATTTGCATATTTTGAGAATCCTGTCTTGTATGTATTTACCTTCACTCAGGCCAAAGGAAAATGAAAAAATTCGCAAGGAGCTTGAGAACGCCATTCACATAATATGGAATTGCAATCTGCCTTCGCCAAGAGTAGGCCTCTCCTATTTGTTGACTGTAGTTTACTCATCTCTCTACCTTTAGTAAATGTCATTAGTTTAAACATATTGTTGTTGACTGCAGTGCGTTGCTGTTGATGCTGTTGTTGAATGCAACTTGGTCTCTGCTCTTCAAGTGTCTGCCTTTCCAGAGATTATCTTCACTAAAGCAGGGAAGATTTTATACCGTGAGAAGGGTAAGTGCGAAACCAAGAGAACAGAAATTCTGTGATTTCTTTATTTGTTTGGCTCCAAATTTTGTGAGTGTAGAATGAAACCTATTTCAATGTATGAGCTGAGGTCTGAGTTGTGGTTTGGTTCAGGATTTGTAAGTGCAGATGAGTTGTCCAAAATAATGGCGTTCTTCTACTATGGAGCAGCTAAGCCACCATGTTTAAGTGACGTTAGGGATTATCAGGAGGCGATCCCATCAGTTTCTGTTGATGCCTGATTATGCCATAGGAGGATAGACAAAGTATATGCTCTTTTTGGTTTGTTGTAGATGAGGAGTTTCAGCAATCGGTTTGTTGGGGCAATCTTTTTTCTATTGAAAGGCCAGTGTCCTCTGTCTTTTAGTCCTGCAACTTCATGAGTTGTTCAAGGTTATTACCGAAATATGAAATGTATCATAGCTTAAGATGACATAGCGACAAGAGCAGGTACATGAGATCCTTGTATTATTTTTTAGGTCAATTCGATTGGGTTCTTAATTAACTGCTCCTGCCACTATTTTAACATAGTTTTTATTTTATTTTATTTTATTTGTTTCTCTACTACTTCCGTAAGCTGTTTATTCGAATTCCCTCTAATAAATAGGTGCTCTTCTGGATTCAAAATCTTGTTGGCGATGAGTGATGATGCCTTCGGTTAGTGACCATCAACCATCGTTTCCATGGAAAAGGTAATCTTTTTCAGGCATCTCTTAACATTTGCAGACTCTTTCTACGTGCTAATTTGCATACATTGTAACATCTTCTCGAGTCCACCCTTGTATTAAATTTATGAAATTCTTTGATACCGTTGTTGCATCATTTTAATTTAACAATCAGCTGGAATAATCACATGCAGCTTAGCTAAGTTCTAAGTTTGAGGCAGAGAATGAGCACTATCAAAATTTTCGATTTGGTCCTTAAATTTTCAAATTCGTTTTGTTTTGAGCATTCAACTTCCAATGTCTACTTTAATTTCTAAACTTCTAAAAACCAATGATTTTGGCTTGAAGTCGTACCTGTAAATAACAAGTTGCAGTGGTCGAAGTTCTAATGTCTATTATTTGCATTCTATTTACATTAGCAACATTTTGTTGCTTATTATTATTATTTTTTTATGGTTTATATACTTTTTAGGATATAGTACAATGTGAAAAATATGAACAGAAATGTGCATAGGTGACCCAAAATTTAATAGGGAAGAGATGAGTAGGTAAAATGTATAGTTTATAATAGAAGAAATTTGATGGGCATTCATATTAGTTAATTTTGGGAAGAAAAGGAACGGTGGAAATTGCTTGCAAAGAGGAGTAGGTGAGTGGGCGATGGATGCCGTGTGTTGTGGGGCGCCTCACAATAGTTGAAGAAATCAATTGTTGACTCATCATTGTGCTTTTTAATTTTAGTTTTGACTCCATATATAACTAACCAGTTGATCTTTAGGAACCCACTGTGGAACCTTCATTCCCTCTTAAGCTAGAAGGCATTAAAATGGTAATAGATCAGAACTCGGATGGGTCGAGGCTAACCAAGGCTTGGACCCATTTCAATCACACCTTGAGATCATTTAGGCTCGGAGAAAGGTGCGTCTTATGCTAGGTAAGCTCGAGACTAAGGCTAGCCCTAACTTCTTTATGGTCAATAGGGAATGACTCGAGCGTCTGGTCTCGTTCCCTCTAAGAAAGGAAAAATGTCCAAATCTCCAACTCAATCCTAGGTAAGGGTACATCATTATAACCTTATAAAAGGTAAATCCATTCTAAGCTTACAACCCTAAACCCTAAACCATTGTGTCTTTGTTACCTTGTGAATCATTTCATCCCCTAAATTACAAATCTATGCATAAAGATGACGAGCAATTATCATCTTACCATCTATAATAACTTTTCTAAAACATTCTTGAAATCCTAGTTGAATTAAAAAGGAAAAAAAAAAAAGAAGCAAGTTTATGGAAAGTATGTTAATTAATCCTAAGCTATCAGGGCATGATTGATAGTCGACAAGAAAAACCAATATTACCATTTAAGAAAGTAACAAGGATTCTAGACATGGATGACTGCGAAAAAAAGTCATCAATTTTGCCCAGCAATTCCAATTTGACTCACTTTGCAATGCAATAGCAATCAAAGAAGAAGAAGAAAAAAAAACCTCAAAAGAAGCATAAATTTGCAATAGAAAAATCTTTAATGGGTTTCACCAGAAAGGAGTGAAGATGATTATGCTGTACACATTAAGTTCAATCCCTGAATTGAATCACAAAATCAACAACAAACCCATCAAAATCTCACTGCCCAGTCAAGCACGACAGAATCCTCTGGCTTCTGAACCTAACAAGCTGTGGCCCATGACTGGACTTGGCGGCGGCGGCGGCGGAGGTAGTTCTCCTCCACTCCTCCGGCGTAGATCCGCCGAATGAGTTGTATCTCCGGTGAGCCCTGGTGGCGCCAGGGTCCTCAGATTTGGAAGTGGGGAAGACGTGGGTTGAAGGGGGATCCACGTAGAAATCAGCAATGTTGAAAGATGGAGAAGGTGCTGCTGCTGCTTCAGGGGAAAGTACTGAATATTGGCTTCTGATTCTGGTTTTCTTCATCGCTCTGTAGAACATCGGAATCAAACCCTCCATTTTGCTTTCTTTTGAACCTTTTTAATTGTAGTCTCTTCCAAGAACAGAGACAGAGCAGAGAGGGGCTTTGGTTTTGGAACTGGAAACGGAAGACTTTTCTTTTTGTTGTTGTGTGTGTTTGGTTCGTTGGGTTTTGGGTATATATTTAATTTGGAATGCGATGGCTGATGGGCACTACGCAAATTCATTATTGCCCAAACTTAGTCCAACACGTCTTTCCCAGTTTTTTTATTTATTTATTTCTTTTGAAAATAACTAAACAAATCCATGGGCTGATGATTCGATGTTGATCACACAAATCACTGTGGACTTGGTGTATATGAATTAAATATAGTTTTTTTTTATAAATTTTTTAAATTTACAATACACTCTAAAAAAAACAATAAAATATGGTTTAAATGAGTTTTTTTAAAATAAATAAATAAATTAATTAATTAATCTATGATTATGTTGATGGTTAATAATCATATTATTAATTCTACAAAATGAATCACTTGCATTAAATAATTTAATGGAAGGAAAATTGAATGATATAATATAGAAATATTGGCATTGAGGATAGGGATCATCTAATTCGTCAACCCTTATCTTAGGGTTGAATTAAAAGAAAAGATAAGAAAAAAAATACACAGTTCTTACTTCTAATGACTCGCTTACCATTTAATTCATAAAATAAAGAAAGAAATGAAAAAGGCATTTTCCATTCAATTGGAAAGACCATAGAATTAACCAAACAAATAATAATAATAATAATAATAATAATAATAATAATAATAATAATAATAATAATAACAATAACAATAATGGTTTGGTTAGGTGATTTAAAGTCCAAACCAAACATAGTCCACTAAATTCCAATTATCTTCATTTGTTCTTAATTTTTATACCATAAAATAGAATCAACACGTGGGTGGCTGTCACTTCTTTCAAACACTAAATAACACCATAAATATTTTAATAAAAACGTTATAAAAACTACATTTTCCTTAAGTAGCCTTTATATATATATATATATATATATATATATATATATATATATATATATATATATATATATATATATATATATATATATATATCTTAATCATAGCTTATATATATGTATGTGGCTTGATAACATATCAGTGTTTAGTATTATTTTCTGAGAACAGAAATTCAAGATTGATCCATTTGTTCGATATCAACTGATATCATAGTTCTGTTGAAGCAGATTTAGCATAAAGAAGTGGCTCGTATGAAATTTATTATACACGACGACACGACGAAACAAGTCATGGGCAATGGAGCAAGCAGTTAAACCTATTAAATTCATGAAGTGTAGCACATAATGTTACTCCACAAAATCATACAATATTCAGTACATTTCGTTTAGATGCGATTCCTTACTTCCTTTTCTCAGCATTGTGGCTCCTATCACACATCTTCTCCCGCATGGAGGTCAAGTAACTTGTTGCTTTCAATCTAATCCTTCTCTCAGGATCCTTTTCTTATCGGCTTAAAAGTTTCAAACCACAATTTGAAATTCAAAACAAAGCAGCAGCACCATAGCAATATGATTAAAAGTTGTAATGTGCATGTGTATCTGTGTAGAGATGTTGTATATACCTGCCACAATGCTTTCTACACGAGCAGCCTGCGTAGCAAAGAGTTAGATAGATGACCGTGAATCCCCAGCAGCACAAGAATCCTGTCTTTATAATATGACAAACAGAAAAGATTCAAATATTGTGCATATCAAACTCAGTTCAAACAAAACATAAACTCAGCGTACATAATGGATACGATCAGTGGGAGAATTCTTCCTCAAACAATCAATTTTTGTTGGTAACATTTATTCTGCTACGAATAGGAGTGGAACTAAGAGGTTAGCAATCAAACAATCCATTTTTGTAGCATAAATGCCAATCTGAGTCCCCTGATGCCATCAACCCACCTCCATCCGTGCTAATGGATTCCGCACAACAACATGCTACTTCATTACTTTTCTCATATTCTTCGGCTTCCTCATTCACTAATAATCGAGAAGAACAAGAACTGTTGCAAATTATAGGATCAGCCTCACAATCATTATGTTTCAGAGGAGTCTTCTTAAGGATATCTGACAAGTTAATGCTGCAAGTGTCAGCATTCTCTTCTTCGTCGTCTGATAGGCATCGACAACTATCGAACTCGTCCATCTCGTAGATCCGGCTCATTAACCCTTCCCTCCATGATACTCTCATTTGGGATTTTGACAAATTCTCACACGAAGAATTGCTATTCCTAAAAGCCTGATCTTCAAGAAGCTTTTGAAATTGGTTAAGATCCATGGAATTGGATATTGTGGCCAGACAATCAAATTGGAAACTTAAATCCGTTATACTTGTCATTGCTTTATGGCTGTCAGACGCTGAATTCTGATCATGTTTATCACAACTGTCAGCAGTTAACCATGGAGGGAAATGTTTTGGAGCTGAATTTGAGTCTGATTGTGGTGTTCGGATGACATTGTCACTGCTTAACGAGTCAATTGAGAATGGAGAATTCTCCCCATTGACTTCATACCTCGGTTGTCCTCTTCCCTCCGTTAATATTACATCCAAGCAATTAGGAGCGCATGAGGGAGAGATGTCCTCAAAGGATAATGGCTCCAAGAAACCTTCAAAGTGAGATGAAGCATTTTCAGACTTGTCTTGGTGATCCTCATCCTCCTCGTTGCAGGGGGATAGAAGCCAATTCATAGAAGCTTCAATGGGTGAAGGGACCTTTAAAACAACAGAATTGGAAGTCTCCCTTTCGTTGCTTCCATCTCCTTCCTCAAAATTCTGAATGGGCTTGACATTAGAAATGGATGGAGTATTCTCTCCCACAATAAGAACTCCTCTGGGTCTACACTTTCTCTTGTCAGAGATCCCAGAAACGACATATCCAGCACCATAGCAGACAGGAGTGAGTGTAGGCATAAGTGCTGAACCACATTGTAATTCAGGTGACACAGAGGCTTGAACAGGAGGCGTTTTAGTATGATCTTTGTTTGAAGCCTCTAGGGCTACAACCTTGCCAGCTGTTGGATCCAAACCAGAGCCGTTTTGGATTTCACGCATGGGAGTGAAGCTGAAATCGGACGGTTCACATTTGTTGGCATCATCAACCATCCTCACTACACCATGTGCCCCATGCCTCTCCAACTCCTCACCATCAGATGCCAAGATTTTAGGTTTGTGGGCACCTAATGAACAGGGCTTCTTCCCGGACGGCCATCTATACAGGGAGGGGGAGTTTTTCTTCAATGGCTCCAACTTTGTGGAGAAAGGTTTTGCGGGCGCCCTAGAATTGTGTGTAAGAGCGCGTTTGGGAGCATTCTCCTTAAGCGGCTTAGATCTAAGGGGCTTGAGGGGGCGAACATGAGAAGTAGATTTAGGGTTTTTGGAAGATGATTTAAGCTTATTAGCAGGGGTCTGTGTCTTAGAAGATGAAGAGGAATGAGAGAGAAAGAACCTGAGACAGCCTCTGGGAGCATCGGTGGAGGTGGAGGAAGCGTCACTGCCGACGCTGGCGGTGTTGCAGGCGGGGGAAAAGGAAATGCCATTAAGAACACGGAAGGGGCCTCGAGGACCCTGGTGCTGCTGCTGCTGCTGCTGCTGCTGCTGCTGATGCTGATGCTTGAGCTTCTTGTTAGCGGCGTGGATTTGAGACGAAGGCGAAGAAGAAGAGGAAGAGGAAGAAGGTCTCATGGTGAAATGGAAAAGAATTCTGAGATTTGTGGAGGAGAAAGGAAGGAGGATCTGAGAGAAGTATAAGAGTGTTGAAGCTGTGAATCAAGATGCATATTTTGAAATTCGGGATTTTTCTATTTGGTGCTTTCTTGAATTCAAATTTCAAATATTGACCTCCACTTTGTTCCCTATTTGCTCGCCTACCCTTCCTTCTACTCTAAATTTAAGCCAATATTAAGTAGATATTAATTTCGATATCAAAAATGGAAATCTTATTTATTGTACCAAATTAATAGCTTTGTGTTCTTATGAGCAACAAAATCTAAGTTTAAATGTCCCAAAGTTAGGATTGTGTGGGCTGGTAAACATGAAATTCAATCGTAAGGCAAACAGATTTTAGGCGAGAGTGTCCATGTAAAGCATTATACTTTTATGAAACTTATGTCATGGGACAGCGGCTACCAACAAATTCTCCCTCCAACCAAACTAAACCAACACCCCATCATTCCGATCTGCCCCGCAAAAATCAAATGGAAATACAAATCCACGTCCGATGAGAAGCCAAAATTTTCTATTCAGAAAAGGGGCAAAAACCAATTCTAATCTTCTCATTTGCTGTCGGTAAAATCAGCATCAATGACGTCTCCTTCAGGTCCTTTGTTCGATGATGGTTCCGATGGCCCTGCTTCGCTTCCTGCACCCGGTCCAGGAGCGGCGCCTGGCTGATTGTACAAGGATTGTCCCAGCTGCATCACCTCTTGATTTAGAGCAGCCATAGCATCCTTAATGGCTTGGGTTGAGCCACCTGAAATTGCTTCCTTCAATTCCCCAAGTTTTGATTCCACCTTCTCCTTCACTGGCCCAGGCACCTTGTCTCCAAGTTCCTTCAGTTGCTTCTCCGTCTGGTACACGACAGAATCAGCCTGGTTCTTTGTGTCAATAGCATCTCTCTTCTCCTTGTCCTCCTTTGCAAACTTGTCCGCTTCGCTAACCATCCGCTCCACCTATAGGCATACAATTTTTTTTTTTTAATGTTCGTCAACAAGGAAACTAGTTAATTGTACTTCCGCTCATGAAAGCAAATGCTTTAATCGTACCTCATCACTTGGCAATGTGCTAGCACCAGTAATGGTGATGTCCTGCTTCTTGCCTGTGCCTTTGTCAATTGCAGTGACCGAGAGGATTCCATTGGCATCAATGTCAAATTTGACTTCAATTTGAGGAACCCCACGTGGCGCAGGGGGGATACCGTCTAGTCGGAAGCTACCAAGTGATTTGTTGTCCCTCACAAACTCTCTTTCCCCCTGAAGAACATTAATCTCAACGCTGGTCTGTCCATCAGCGGCTGTGGAGAATACTTCTGACTTGGAGGTAGGAAGTGTAGTGTTTCTTGGGATAATTTTCGTCATTACACCCCCAAGAGTCTCAAGACCCAAAGATAGCGGACTCACATCCAATAGCACAATG